TTGCTCCTAGTAGTAAGGCCAGGAGCCCCCAGTAGCGTCCTTGCTCCCAGTAGTAAGGCCAGGAGCCCCTAGTAGCGGTGCCCTTTGCTCCGTTCGTAGCGTCGCTCCGAGACTGAACTCTTTGGTGCCTCTGGACTTCTTGTCGTAGCGTCAGCAGTTCAGTGCGAGGGCATGCACCTGAACTCGAAAGAACAAATGCTGAGCTGTCCTTTGTCAACATGAGTCAATGTATTATGCGGCAATGCATTCCTTCAAAGAGTGGACAATGGCAACTGCCAACCTCCTTCGGAGGTTTTATCACTTCTCAAACAAAGAAAACGTTCACCAGTTATGCTGAAAGCCAGCTTAGTTATTGAAGAAGACGCTTAGTTGACTGGGGCAGGTAAGCACAGCAAGCACAAAGCTCTGCACGCACAGGCATCGAGGCTCGTTCGATCCTGACTCCAAGGAAACACATCAAGCACATGGCAGCCATTGCAAAAAAACAAACGCAAAGCGATGCATTTCTTCTATCATTCTTTCCACAACTCTAGGAACCAAATGAATAGTGGGAGGGTGAGCCATCTTCCGTCCAGCTACTAGCAGCGTCCAATACCTATAATAGCTACTAGCTACATCTAGCTACCTCTTACGGCCTACCCCCCCTGTTGCCCCCCCAGGCCAAAATTAGAAGTAAACAAAAAGTCCGCAACCACTAAGGCAAGAAGCTAATAGTAACAAGTGCATCGCTACTAGTAACAGCGACATTACTACTACTACTACTACTACTACTACTACCACTAAGAAGAAGCTACTAGTAGCTATTTGCTACTAGTAGTAATGCACTTGCATATTGACCACACCATTGAAACATCAATTTCGTTGGGCAAAATGGCTGGCAATCTTCGCACCGGCCTGCGTGGGAGGCCTGAGTTGTGGCATTGTGTGAATAGAGTGGTATGGGCCACTTTCAAGTAGGGGCCCAAATCAAAGTGCTCCTTCAAGCCCTGACCTTCTTTTGTTCATCTCTTTTTGTTGTTCGTCTTACCTTCTTGCCTGATCGCTGACGCTCGCCTGTCTCCAGCCATACATACCTCGTCAATCGAGTGCCAACATGTGCTTAGTCCAAGCACAGTTCTTTTTTCTTTTCCGTTTCCTTTCTTACTCTTCTTTCGTTATCTTCTTTACACCTTGATAAAACCTTTTAAAATAATTTAAGTATTTTGCCGAACGGCTTCAATACTGAGATTCTGACCTTGCGGGTGTCACGTACTTCTGCGGTGTCATGTGGAGCATCATGTTAAGCAAGCTTCCCGCTGGAGCTCTCGGAATTGATGTGCTTGAGTTTCTAGGAGCGTCCAATGCCAATACGTAATAGCTATTGGCTACCTCTTATGGCCTACCCCGCTGTTGGCCGTACTAGCGATGGCCTCCAACCTACTACCGATGGCCTCCAATCTACTACTAAGTGTGACGGCCCCTCATGAATTGCATTGACTTTTAGCTTCCACACAACTGTTGTACGATTTGTTGATATTTGTTGTGCAGGAAACGATTGCTAACTGTCCAACTTCTTCCGCGCAAACTCAAGAACAGTAGTTTTTTGTCTGAATAGCATGTAATTTTCGTAATTTTGCTGCCAAACAAAACTCGCAACCAAAGGCTCTATATAAAGGTAGAAACTTTGCCATACTCACCACCAACTGAAGACGATGCACTGAAGCCGTACAACTGGCACATGACGACAAACTTGAAACAAGTCAAAGTATTCCTTGCAACATGCGAAAAGACACCGTGGCTCGATGGTTGTTTTCAACGGGCTGTCATAGAGACATCCTTGGAGC